TGAGCCCCCCAGGGTTTAAAAAAACATTCCCCCCCCCCCCCCCCCCCCGGCCTCGATGCACAGGTCTACCTGCCCGGTGAAGCCATGGGAGAGGGTGAGGAACTCATCATGGACACGACTGCGTACACGGCCTTTTGCGAGGTTGGCTGACCGCTTCCTCTAGCTTGACGCTGTCTGCTGCCGCTTACTCTGTGAATGTACCCACTCACGACCCGCGCTTCGTTCGCCCTTGCCCTCTTTTAAATCTGGAATAGTTTACGGCGGAATGGCCCTGTCTGACTTTTGACGTGATTCCCGACAGTTTGGGTGACAACCGCACTGCTTTTCCCATGAGTGCCCAGCTCGTGTGCGGCACGCAGGTCTGTCTTGCGCATCACAGCGGAAACCTCGGGAAGGCACCCCACACAGCTTGATTCGAGCACTCACCGACGACCTCTGTCGGTTCCGCCCCTTGTCCCTTTGGACAGGCAGAGAAGTCCTCCCAGAACAGCATATCGGTCATCCAAGTCAGCAACATCCAAAAGATCAGCAATGACGGTTCGTCCACCCGATCTTCCACACAGATTCTTGATACTTCTTCGGGAATAATGCGGCGCTGACTCAAGGCCCTGTAACGCGCTGCGCAGATGATGACTTGGATATGGAGGAAGAAGATCAAGAAGAAGATGCCACAATTTGCCACAGCACTTTCAAGCACGCTGGTGGCATCAACCGCATGCGCGTACGTTCATGCGCGCCCTTGACACACGGTCACCGGGGGCTTTTGACTCACCTCTTCACTTTTTTTCCCCATTGTCATGTATAGGTCTGCCGCCATGCACGCGATGTCGTGGCTGTCTGGGGTGACAAGGGGGCCGTCACTGTCTACAACCTGGCGCAGCAACTGCAGCAGGTCGAACAGAACTCTTCGGGCACGTCCGACGGCCAACAGATTTTCCAACACCAATTCTCTACCGAAGGCTATGCCATGGACTGGTCTCCCGTTGCAGCGCGGCGCTTGGCCACGGGCGATTGCAGCAGCCAGCTCGCTATTTGGGACCCAACAGAGCACGGCTGGGAGGTCCGCGTCAGCTCGGGCGGTCACACGGATTCGGTCGAAGACGTTCAGTGGTCGCCCAATGAACCCAATGTCCTGGCCTCGTGCTCCGTTGACAAGACGATCCGTATCTGGGACATTCGCGCTCAACTGCGGCCCGTTCTCAGCGTCAATGCCCATGATGCTGACGTCAACGTTCTCTCTTGGAACAGGTCGGTGTGCACGGCGATTCCTCAAGCCATTGGCTTGAGCAAAAATTTTCATGGCGCATCGCCCCGAACGTTGTTTTCCACGGCGCATCGAGACGTTCGGGGCGATGCGCTTAGTGTCGCTTAGTGTCGCTTACCTCACCAGCGCTGATGTTTCTCTAGGCGCGAACAGCACCTGCTCGTATCGGGCGGTGATGAGGGTGCCTTCAAGGTCTGGGATCTGCGCACCTTTATGAGTGGTAGCCCTGAGGCTGTGGCCACCTTCAAATGGCACTCGCAACCCATCACCTCCGTTGAGTGGCACCCCATCGATGCCTCTGTCATTGCCGTTTCGGGCGACGACCACCAAGTATCGCTTTGGGACATGGCCGTAGAGGACGACGGTGACGCCAACCAGTTGGTGAAGAGTGACCAGAGCACCGTGCCCCCACAACTCTTGTTTGTACACCAGGTTTGTACCCTGCACGTGCTCGTTTGCTCCCGTCCCCTTTGGTGCTCTGCGCTACACATCTACACTTCCAGAAGTTGTTCACAAGCAGACACGTTGGCTCAATCCCGGCTTTTGGTTGTTTCATATTTCTTGTCTAAACAGGGTCAAAAGGATATTAAGGAGGTTCACTGGCACATGCAGGTGCCCGGCATGTGCATCTCCACTGCAGCCTCCGGCTTTAACATCTTCAAGACCATCTCGGTCTAAATGCCTGGCAACGCCTTGGCCCTCGTGATGGCTGGCTTTGTGTGCGTGCCAGCCCCATGCGCTGCGCCCGTGTGTGCATTGTGAACCCGCCTGTGGCTTGTGATGATTGTTGTTCCTGTTTTGGCCGCATTGGTATTGTGCCAACTTTTCTTGTCACCTTTTGTTTTTTTCCTCCGACACCACGAGGCAGATCAATTCTTTCCTGCTCCTTCTTTATTTTTGTGGGGACCTCTTGAGGAGGAACCAGCGCGTGTCGGTCGTGATTGTATGCTGCATCTTGTTGACGTTCTGCTTCTGTGATGCCGGATCTTGGTGCGCATTTTGCATCCCCTTGAGCAGGGGTTTCTTTCGCCTGCCCTTCTCGCCGCTTCTAAACTGCTTTTTGCAGTCGCCATGGCGAGTCTTGACGGGTGAGCAACGCCTGCGAGGATCGAACAGGCATGTGCTTGATGGAAGAAGGCTTTTAGATGTCGTAGACTACAAAGTCCTTTTGGATGCCTTGTTCTTTTTTCCCCCTTTTATCTCTCGAATCAATTGCCATTCTCTTCTTCCTTCAGCTTAGCAGATCTCAAAGTCCCATGTGAATTTGCCACTCTGCCACAAAGTCTCCCAGCGTACTACCATACCCCTGATACAAGCCTCAATGAAAAAAGAGAGCCCCAATCCGACACCGGATGGAGTCCTTTGTACATGTAAGAGAAAAATAATAAAAAAAATCTCTCTCTCGCTCAAAAACTCTCTCTCTCTCGCTCAAATTTTTCTCATCCCTCTCCCTCTCTCTCGTGAGGCGATGGGGCGGTGGGAGATGGGCGAGTTTGGTCTCGTTGCAGCTTTGCTGCTGGCCGTGGGCAGCTGCATCGTTGGTGCTGCCACCAGTGACCCGCCTTTAACTGGGATCCCCTTGGATAGCCCTTTTGAGCCCGCTTGCAATTGCGCAATAATCTTCGATACCGGCAAGCAGGTCTGTCAAGGCCTCCCGTCGCCATGCCAGGCCAGCTGATGCAGCAGTGAGAGCTCTGGTGCAAAGGCTGTTTGAATGGAACGATGTGGGGTGATGTGCAGGTGCGCATCTCGATTTTGTCTCCGCAAGTGGCGCGGATCGAGTACGATCCCACTGGCAACTTTACCGACTTGGCCACGTTGCAGTTTGTCAATCGGTAGGTCCAGGCTCTGGGCCTGGCTAGGTACACGGCGACACGGGCCCGTGGTCTGATGCGGCTGGGTTTGGCTAGAGACAATCACGCCCAGGTGGCAATCAACTCAAGCCGGGAGGGAGGCTGGCTCAACGTTTCCTTTCCAAACGCTGCCCAAGCCCACATCTCTGGAATCAGCTTGCATGAAGCCGCTTTGGCACCAGGTGCCTGTAACCCCAACACCTGGCAATCTGGCACCGATGTGGTTTGCAATGGCAAATGCCAGCGCAGTGCCGCCTACCCGAACGGTGCCCCGGCCGAGACCGTCGCCGACTGCTGTCAGCTGTGCAGTAGCCAAGAAGACTGTGCCACCTTTGTCTACGATAGCCACGACCACGTCTGCTTCATGTTGCAGCCAGGCACCGTCACGGGCACGCAGCCTGCTGCCAATCGTAGCACAAGCTTTACCGCCCGCCCCCTTGATGGTCTAGTCTTCGTGTCCGGCACTTTTTCAAACGGTGTGTCTGTCTGCCTGCTTGACCTACCCAACCCGCTCCGTCTCATGCCCCAACGCCCCCATTTTTTGGTGCGCGAACAACTTTCGTCCTGCTTGATTGTACAGGCTCGACATGGGAGTTTGTTCTCGGTGAAGCCGATCCTCGCAACTTGCTGGGCACCATCGGACCTACCCCCTCGACCGATCTTGCTGGCTGCTGCAACAACAGGTATATCGCGGCTGACTGTTCGTTGTGTGGCAGGTCAACAGCCTCACAGCAGGAACCTTGTTCTCACGTGGTGCTGCTAGTAACGGCTGGGACCCAGCCTACCCCCTTCAGTCCGGCTTGCTCTCGCGCAGCGGCTGGGCCGTGCTCGACGACGCGCACACACCGCTGCTCTCCGCGTCGGGGTGAGCCCTGCCCTGAAAAGATTCCCGTTCTGCAGGGTACCGCACTAAACTCAACCCCATGCTGCATGCCTGGAATGCCTCGCATGTGCTAGGTGGGTCGATGCAACGCGCGGGCTGCGCTCGTTGCAGGATGATTACATTTTTGGCTGTGGATCTGACTACGCGCAATGCTTGGGTGCCTACACGGCCCTCGCCGGTAACATCTCCATGCCGCCTTCGCATGCGTTGGGCGTCTGGTGGTCCCGACACTGGTGAGACCTTGAACCCAAGCAAAGCTCATATCTCATGCAAAAGCACACATACATTTGAATTCAACTCAAACGCAAGACTTCGTGGTGATAGGGGTGTTCCGGAAGACGGCGCGCCCTTTGGACCCATGACCGAGAACAACATCAAGACCGAGGTCGTTGACCAGTATTTGGCGCGCGAATTGCCGTTGCAAGTGGTCGTGACGGACATGGAGTGGCACTCGATGCTCTCGCCCACAGATTGCGCAACCTTCATCGGAGTCAAGGGCTGGGGTGGCTACACTTGGAACAACACCCTGTTTAGCGACCCACACGAATTTGTCGAATATCTTCATGCCCGAGATATCAAACTCGTTCTCAACTTTCATCCCGATGAAGGTGCGGTCTTTTTGGTCTCGGTTTTGAAACTGCTAAACAGAGCCAAAAGAAAAGCACGGCAAGCAGCAACCGCGCTATCCAGCCTCATGCCTGTGACGTTGGTGGCGAAACAGGCATTGACCGATGCCAAGCGCATTACCAAGATATGGCTCAGGCGCTGGGTGCAAGCGCCGATGGGACTGCCCTCGTCGACTTTAACCAAGCCAGCACCAATCAGACATACGCCGAGGCGTATTTCCAGCACATGATCCGCCCCACCCTCGTGGATTACAGGTGAGGGTCAAACGTTTAGAGCCAAAGCGTGCTGCTATTCCTGTCTCTGAGGTGCGCATTCAGGAGCAATTGAAGGTGGGCGAGTTCTCACGGGGACGACTGTACTGCATGCTTCTGTAGCTGGCCAGACAGCCCCCAAGTGACGACATGGACCTCGATTCTGTGGGATGCAGACATGACACGCCGCAATCTGCGACCCTTGACCTTGTCGCGCTATGGCGGCGTAGGATCACACCGTACCCCGATTGGGTTTTCTGGAGATACCCTGCGCCGATGGGACACGCTTGCCTATGAGGTTAGTTGCACCGCACCTGCGTTTGGCACCGAGTATGCTCCAAATGCTCGAGTCGTCCATGCGCTGCGCGCACGCCTTGCCACGTATTGCCTGAACCCATCCACTCAACGTGTGCTGTTTGTACGCCTGCTTCTTCGATGCTGTCCTCTCACTCATGCGCGGGCGTGCATCTAATGGCCAACAAACCCATTAGGTATACATGACACCACGTTCGTCAAACATGGCCTTTGCATGGTGGTGCGCTCTAGTGTCAATGATCAGGGGTCCTGGGGCGGGCGTGTGTGAGGGTTGAGGTGCTGTCAGAACAATGCCGTTTTGTCGGGTAGTCACTGTAGTTTTATCCTTTTGCTTGAAAATCGTGCCCATCTGCAGGTCACATGACATCGGCGGCTTTAGTGGTGGTGAAGTGGACGCTGCTCATCACACCGAGTCACCCGAGCTCTTCTTGCGCTGGCTACAGGTGGGTTGCAGCCATCCAAATTGCCATTGGTTGACTCCGGCACTGTGGATCTTGATGAAACAGTGTTTCTAACCTGCTTTGTACCTTGTTTTCAGTTTGCCGTGTTTGCCCCAATTTTCCGAACCCACTGTCGCTATTGTGAGCAGCGAATTTGGACTTTTGGTGAGCCATGGTATGGCTTGATGCGGGAGACCATGCTGCTCCGAAGCATGCTGGGGCCTTACATCTACACCCAGGTCAGGCAGCATGCAACATAACATCTCGACGTGAGCCGAAACAATCAACATTCATGGCCTGTGGCTCATCAGACCAACGCTGATGATGCTAGGCACGACACACTTATGAAACGGGCGTCGGTCTAGTGCATCCCCTATACTACGAATATCCTCAGGTCTGCCTGTCTGCTTGCCTGTCTGTCTGTGAAAACCACTCGTTCATCCCTTGTGTTGCGCCCTCTGCCTTGTGTGCTACCCGGATGTTCAGGATGAAGAGGTCTACGGGTTGACGGCGCAGCACATGTTTGGCGAAGATGTCTGGGCTGCGCCCATTGTGCAGCCAAGTGGGCCTGCCGACTCGACCATCAAGGTCTTCTACGTTCCCGTAACAGATGAGCGTGGCAGCTGGTGGGATATGCAGCAAGGAGGCATTCCTATCCCGGGTCTAACAACGACGAGAGTGTCCAACAACACGGTGAGTCGTCGCAACGCTTGCAGCTTCGCAAGGAGACCATACGTTGTTCTGCTGCCTGGCGTGCCTGAAACCTTGCCCAATTGATGGTGGTTATGCGTGCTGTCAACTCCAGCTACCGTGGTTTGTGCGGGCCGGCGCACCCATCCCGTTGAGGAGCAATGCCACACGCTTTGAGGATGTCACGGCCAATTTGACATGGTTGCTGGCCCCTGCGCGCACTGACACGACGTTTGCGCGTGTCTTGTATGAGGACGACGGCGAGAGCATGGCCGCATTCACCCAAGGCGCGTACTTGCAAACGAACGTGCGCGCGGTGCACAACGCTTCGGGCTTGCGCCTTGAAATTGATGCGGCTGAGAACCCGTCTGGTGCATTCAAGCCCACCGTCTCTGAGCGCACGCTTCGGGTCGTGCTCCTGGGCGTGGTCGACCCGCGCGGTGTCCTTGTGAATGGCGCAACGGTCGTCACCAAGACGGTAAAGCTGGACGAGCTCGTTCCCCTGGCAGGTTCATACGAATGCACCCTGGTGACCATCCCGGCTTTGGCCTTGACCGCGACGCTGAGCCTCGAGGTTGCTCTATAAGCCCCGGGTATCTTGAGCCTCGCTGACAAAACAAATAGATTGTGATTTTTATGATCGTGATGATTCTCAAATGAAGTGGCACGAACCGTGGCACTGTGAACTTGAAGGGGATGTGGATTCACATGTCAAGCAAGGGATATGTAAAAGAGAGCCCGATGACAACACATGGGGTGGGCACTTCAGCTAGCAGGTCCAGTGAAAAAACATGTCTCGTTCCTCGTCTGAAGCAAATTGCGGCACAAAAGGGTATGTTAGAACGCTGGCAAACCCTTCTGCCGAGGTGGGCTCTTGGTAGTTTTTGCTAAACCGCAGAATGTGTGGGCCAGACCAGCGGCAAAACTTGACGATCGTGAGTGGCTGCACCACCGAGCACAGGATTGACGAAAGAGGCACGAAACATCAAAAAGCCGCAAGCTGCACTCACAAGAAGACATTGTAGCCCACCGCGGGTACGCGACGCTGACGACCTTGAGTCGTGTTTTGGCGAAACAAATTCATGTGCTCGGCCAGGTCCCGCGGTGTTTCCATGAGAATGCATCGGCAGGGTACCTGAAAACAGGCAGGCGGCGTATACATGCGCTCTTAATAAGCACACCCAGTGCTGCATCGATGAAGTGCTGCATCGATGAGGGCAAGCTGGTGCATCCCGCCGGCGTGTGCGTTTACCTTGTGCTTTTGGGCCAGCTTGATCCATTCGCTACGGGCCGCAGGGCTGCCATTGGTGTTGTCGATAACGACCGATTGGCCTGCAGCCAAGGCCGCAGCGGCAGCTTTGCTGCATTTACTTGCCGTGCCCATCTCATCGCGGTTGATGCGCGTGTAGCCGTGCTCCTTCTCAAATTTATGCTTGCTCAAGGTGCTCTTACCCGATGCAGGACACCCAACCATTACAATCTACACCCGTGGGCCGCGCGTGAGAGCAAGCACAGTGCACTCGGTGATTGACGGATATACGGCCCGTGTCAGACAGAAGATGAGACTGACCATCTCTTGAGTCTTGCTGGGGTCGATTGTAGGGGGCGGGGCGGCGAGCTGAGCGCGCAAAGGTTTGGGATCAAAGGCGCCGTAATCAAAAGATGAGACGGGGGCTTGACCCAGGAAAAACTACCATGGGTACACGAAAAATGACGGTGAGCGGTAACCCATGGGTGTGGGTGTCGGCGTCGGCGTCGGCGGCTGAGGTCGCGTTGTGGGCTGACCTCCTCTGGGGTTTGAAACGGAATGCCAATGTTTTCGGCAAACATCCGGTCACTGGCATTAAAGTCCTTTGGTGCGCCTGCCCGCCAGTTTTTCGCACGACCAGCAGCATCTCCCACGAATACACACTGCCACGCAGTCACATCCGGGTCAAACGTGCAGTGGCAAGTGTCGCAAAGCAACGCGACAGAAGAGTACGACCGCACAACGAGGCAAGAACATAATGTGATACTACCTGCTCGGGGCTGGGTGGAGCGGCGCAACACTGCTCGGCAAAGTGACGCCAGAGGAACACGCTGGGCTTGCGAAAATGATTGTTGCCCGTCGCTACCAGGGAAGTAAACTCAAACCCCAAGGCTTCTTGAACGGCCTCTTTTTGTTTTGTTTGGGTTTTTGTTTGTTTGGTCAGCACGGCGGCGGCGCAGTGTCATGGTGAGCACGGGACATTTCATCTGGCACACGAGGTGCAGCTCGCAAGCGCAAGACGCACTGATCTTGGTCTTAATTTCAAGCGGCGTCGTGTTGCCCTTTTCCATGCCTACCAAGTCACAATCAAGATGGAAGCTTGGGCAAGTGAGGCAAGACTGACTGCCAGGAGCGGCTGAAGACAAGCCAGGCTGACAATGAACGGACCGCCTTGGTTTGTGAAGAGGACGATGCGATGACCGTCTGTGTGGAGCTGTTTCAGCTTCTTGGGCACCTCGGGCAAGATAAATTCCCAGTCTGTAGCACCTATGAGACCAGATGCACAGTCGTTGTGATATTTTCCCCCACCGCCGTTGTCAGTTAAGAAGGCGAACCAGTTGGGGTGGAACTCTTTTACGATGCGCATCTGATGTGCGATGCGCGGACCCTTACCAGTGGGAAACTTGCGCCCGCTCTTCGGCTTTAGAACAGTCCAGTCCATATCAAAGGCGTAGATTTTCTTGGCATCCTCTCGGCAATTCGGCGTGTGATAGACCAGCAAGGGAGCCAGCGCCTTGCCCTGGATGGATGTGGGATGAGAGTAGCAGCAAGGGGCGGTGCGCGAGCGCGGATGAAAGCAAAGGCGGTCTGGCACGCTTGTACCTTGTAGACGACGGCTTCGCCGACGTCCTGCCAGCCAGCTGCGATCTTGGATTTCTTCTCCACGTCTGCCTGTGCGGCGGCCGCCTGGGCCGCGGATCGCTTGCTGGATCGTGGGGGCATGTTTGCAGCTTGAAGCGCTCCCGATCGATGACTTTCCTCCACGAGTCTTCAACCCTATGCGATCAAGCTTGAACGCGATGCACGAAGGATCCACCCTCGTTCACCCTCACAACCACCTTGGTGCTGTCGATCCCGCCCACAGAGAAAGACCGCGCCGTCTTGCTCGCCTGAAAAATAAAAAATAAAATAGAGAGAGAGAGAGACACACACACACACACACAGAACCGATTGCGCCATAATTAGACGATACCCTTACAAGTTCAAACACGTCAAGACAAGTTCGCGTTGGCGTTGACACACACGCATGAAATGATCAGTGGCAACGAGGCATCGATGGAGCAAGTGGCAGCGGCTTGCATGGGCGCGTCGATGCCAGGCCCTGTTTAAAACAAATAGGGGCCGGCGGGCGACGGGCGATCTGGGGGTGTGAAGAAGTCGATAAGCCTGAGCACATAGTAGGAAACCTAGAAATCTGCAAGGCTGTAAGTTATCACAGAATAGCTGAAGCGGAACCCAATTCGAACGCGACGAGATGGCTTGCCCTTGTTTCTCTTCTCTCAAATATGGTGGTCGCCAGCATAGGACAGCGGTCTTCTGGCCAAATCAAACCTTGCTGCATTCGCACAGACAGCAGCTCTTTACCCCCGCTGCCACGACTCACTCCTGCAGGCGAGATTCACATTGCCCGTCCAAAATTCATAAAAAATTCAAGTAAAATTCGCGTAAAATAGCTCACAGATTAGATTCTGACAATACCAAATTAAGTGTATCAAGAGTCACACATATCCCAAAACAAACTGTGACATGTACTACACATTCCAGAACAGCTCCGCCTCTGAACAGATCACACATGCAAACTGAACCAACGCTGTTAACACGTTACATTAACCACACGCGCATGCACCACTGCTTTCATCCAGCATCTCTGCTCTTAAACCAGTGCTCACCTCCTTTCTCTGCTCAACGTTGTTAGACAAAGGCAATTTCACTGGTGCTCAACCCCAGCTGGCACACTCTCTAGCCAGATCTCTCCCCCAACACTGCCTCTCTTTGTATTCTTTTGTTCTTTCGCAGTAAGACTGGTATCCAACGACGTCATCGACGACTTTGAACTCAGGAAACGGCAGCGCGGCCCTGCGTCAGTGCTTCTCGCCCAGGTTTGTGAATGCAGCAGGGGTAGAACAGTGAGGCAAGTGCCTCTGCGTGATCATGCCACGGTCGAATGGGCTCCTTGTGGGTATGCGGAGGGGCTGAACCAGGGCACATCGATGGTTCGGGAGCTGGATCGCAAGCACCCCAAGTGACTCGCACCTCCAAATGGCAGTTGCCCCTCCGCCCCTCTTGGCCGCGAAAGCTTGTTGCAGAAAGAGAGGAAGGAGAGAGAGAGAGAGAGAGAGAGAGGAAGAGAGAAGGGAAGGGCTGAGGAGCTTGCGGTCCACCCCAACTTGTCAGGAAGCGCGCGGCCCTCAGCTTGCGGCGTTTAAATCGTGTCCTCACCTGGCTCACTGCGTGTCGTGTCGCCTTGTCCAGGCACCGGTGCCCTTTGCGCTGCCCATTTGAACCAAATTCAATCTGCATAGCAGGACGGGGGACCCAAGGTTTGCACGGCGACTGGTGTGTCGCCATCATCATGAACGAGGAGCCCGACGAAGCGTTGACGCCCGCCGTGGGTACCCGCGAGCACCGCCAGGACTTTGTACCGCGCCGTCCCACGCGCAGCATGATGCAGCGAAGCGCCGTGTCGAGCAAAGCAGCCGAGGGCCTGCAACACCTTCTGGAGGCCAGCACCACGGACAGCGAAGTCTCCATATTTCATGCCCCAGCTTCCAGCACCCACAAGCTGGCTCGGCAAAAGCAAGCCGCCATGCATGAACAACTTGTACGTCACTCCTGTCCATCTCACCACCTCGCGTGCTCATATGATTACCGCTAGCTCATCCCTCTGCTCGCGCCTCTAGGTGGAACTCTTGAACCTGCCCGCCGGCATCGCCGATGACTTGTCGATGGTGGTGTCCGTCCCGAAGCTGGTATGCGCATGAGGACCTCTCTATTTCTATGCTTCCTCCAGCCAACCTCGATCCTCCTTGTGACATTGAACAGCATTGTACACTGCCCTACGCGGTTCCTCCTGGGCATGTCTCACGTCTCTCTATGCTCCGTTCGGCGGCCGCCACAGCCCCAGGTGCTTCATGCCGTGGCCAATTGTCTTTATCACACAGACGCGGAAACGTGCGCCATTCATCAGGTACGCGTCCTGCCCGTATCTGTCTTTTCAAGCCACCCCGTTGTTTTACGCAGCAATCCTCGCCACACCTGACGCGTACCTTGTTATATTGCCTCCGTAGCATCGTGGCCGGCTAGGATCATCGTGGCCTATGCTTCATCTTTCAAACCTCTCGCCCGACATCATGCAGGGCGAAGATGCCACGATCAACGAGCGCACTGGCTTTGTTGTTTGCAAACAGCACTTCCCCACCATCACGTGCGACACAGCCGTGGCCACGGGCCAGTGGATGTTTGAAGTCACCATCCTGACGGCGGGCGTCATCCAGGTTGGTTTCTTCATTCTATCCTTCCTCGTTCCCTTCATTGTCGGATTCCATATCAGTGCAACTTCTTTTTCTCTTGACTCTCACACACGAACGCTCAACCCGCTCGCCTCGCTTATTGGTCGCCTGTGCCCTTGCATGCAGATCGGCTGGGCCCTACCTGGGAGCGAATACACAGTTACAACCGGCGTCGGAGACAATCGCGGTCCGTCTTTGGTTTCAAAGCCGCTGTGCTGCTTGGTCAAGTTTAGACACTACCCTTGCTCAAGCACCCATGCCACCTACTTTCCCTGCCTCACCGCCCCGTCCCCTCACTCTACTTCACCTGACACTACTATAGACACCTTTGCGTACGACGGCAACCGTCGAAAGCGATGGAACGAGGCGTCACGGTCATATGGCGAAGACTGGGCACCTGGTGACGTCATCACATCTTGCTTGAACTTGGATACCCGTGAAGTCCGCTTCTTCCGGTATGCCCAGCTCCCTCCCTGGCCCATCCTCTGCCAGTTGGGCCCTCGGCATCTCACGCCTTCCTCGTATTGTCACTCCCTCCCTTCCTCCCCCGCCCCCACCCCCCCCCCCCCCAAAAAAAAGGCCGGTTGTGCCCATCGCACAGCAACGGTCGCGAT